TTTCTCTCTCCATGGTCTGGTCCCTTCTGGTAACATGCTTAGAGTATGTCAGACAGAGCTTCAACCTCCTGCAGCCTGATTTTTCCCTCTCCAGGATGAACCTGTTTGTTTTCTTTGCAGTCCATGGTATAGTTAATAAACTTCTTCAGCACAACCCAAAGAAATGAGTTCTATCCTTCTTGGTTATTATCCAGCTCTCTGATGCATAGCAAGTAATTGTGAAGACTGTGGCCTGGACCTTAATTTCTAGACTTACATCCTTACTCTTTGGTACCCTGGAGAGGTCCCTGACAGCAGATTTTCCCCAATATAATTCATCTTTTGATTTCCTGGCTGCGGGTACCAAGGATGTTGATGTAAATTTGCCCTCATTTTGAAGCATTTGAACATCCCCTACTCTAAACTGTGTTTTTCAACATAATTGGTTTCTCACATTACATATAAAAAAGCCTTTAATTTAGGAAGTAGATAGCCCATCCTGCTTCCTAGTGTGTCTTAATCAGGAAGCTCCACTAAAAACCATCCCTATCCAGATGGGGAACAGTGGCAAAGATTCCAGTATCACAGCAACCTCAGGTTGTCTCAGTAAAGAAAACTGTCAAACAAGTGCTTCACCACTTAGAACAACATTCCCTCCAAACACAATGAATAGCAGGCCCTAGGGCTCGCCCTTAGGCACAACTAACTTAAATACAAAGGCCTGCCCACCAGATCCTATTTGCCCACACAGAGGCTTCCCACCCAAGCTGAAAGTGAGGAGGACTTGAAGCATTTGTTGCAGAAGATCAAGGAATGCAGTTTTCCGTATGGATTGCATCTCAATATCAAGAAAACAAAGATTCTTACCACTGGACCAAAAGGCATAATCATGATGGATGGAGAAGAGATTGAAACTGTCAACAGCTTCATTTTGGTTGGATTCACAATTAACCACCTTTAAACTAGCAGTTAGGAAATAAGAAGACATATTGCATTGAGAACATCTGCAGTTAGGGATCTTTCAAATCATTGAGGAATAGTGATGTCAGTTTGAGGACTGAGGTGCGTCTGATTCAGGCCATAGTCTTTCTCATTACTAGCTATGCATCTGAGACCTGGATAGTGAATAAGGATGACAGAGAAAGAATTAATGCCTTTGATCTGAGGTGAGCACTGAACATCCGTGGATGGCCAAGACAATGAATAGATATGTCTTGGAGAGGGTGCCACCAGAGTGCTCTTTGGAGGCAAGAATGATGAGGTTTTGCCTCATATACTTTGGGTATATTGGTAGGAGGTGCTATTCCTTGGAGAGGGACATGATGTTGGGAGAGGTTGAGGGTTGGTAAAGGAGAGGAGAACCCTCAACCAGGTGTATAGACATGGTGAATGCTACAGTAGACTCAGGAATTGTGTGTCAGGAAGTGTGAGGATGGCACAGGATAGGACTAGGTTCAGATTTTGTTCATAGAGTTGCTATGAGTCATACTCGACTTGACGGCACCTAACAAGAACAGCATTGCATATACAGTGTTTAAATCATTGCAGAGACTTTGAACCTTTTTTTGCACTCACTTACCTCATCTGCTGCTATTAAGTTGATTCCGTCTCATAGCAACCCACCGTTCTTGACTAGTTGGAGGATTTGAAACCCAAGCCTATCAATCAGTTAACAGTCACGTTCTTTACACTGCCAGGACTCCTTTCTTGTACTAAAATAAGATGAAAGAAAAAATACACTCTTGTCTAAATTTGACTTAAAAGACTCATTTAGAAATGAGTCCCATTCCTAACTTGAAGACTGAATTATTGAGTATATTTATAAATTAATTCTTCCTGAGGGAAGTATTTTTACTTTTGAAAGTATGCTGTGATATTAACGTTGTGTTGCTGTTACTTCATTAGTTTTAGTAACAAGACAGGATATGAATGATTCATATATAATATAATTTTTTAAATTACTTGATTGCTAGAAATAGCAAGAACTAAACTGTGTTCTGAAGTCATAACTAATTTTTTTTTATTGTAAAGTTTTCTTTTTTAAAATGTACAGTTGGTTGAACCTGTTTATGCATCTTCTCCAGCAGCGGGGGGCATCGCTACCTTTGGTGTTTCTGGTGTGAATCACTTGAGCTCTGTTGTTTTGAAACCAGCTTGATAAGCCCTTTACTCAGCAGCTCCTGAAGGGCTGCCCTGGCCTGGGAACCCCGAATCTTCAGTCTCTCAAGGACAACAGCTGGGTTATAAACTTATAGTTGGGAACTTTTTTACAAAGTATATGTGGCTTTGTCAAACAAGACCAGCCTATTGAGCTTGTCCCGAACTTTGCCTTTGGACCACTTCTTCTTGGCCTTACCCGCAGATTTCTTCACTAGGTCTTTGTCCTTCTTGGCCCACTTTCCGGTGTCTGTCGTCTTCTTGTTGTCATTGGTTAGCATCATGAAGCTCAGAGAGAAGCTACCACAAGTGCAGCCTTGTTAAGATGTTGGATAAAAAGCAGTCCTAACTATTTTTGCCTCATTTAAAGTTTTCTCACCTTTTGGCTCTTCAGTGATAAATAGTGAACAGAATTTTTTTTTTTCTGTTCTTGGTGTTTTCATTTAATGTTTTTAAATACTGGGTTATTAGAAAAGGTTACATTCATTTCATAGTTCTTCATTTTATGTATGTAAGTATATGTATACAATGATAAAGAAATTTCTTCCTTTTCGTTATGTAATTTTCAGCTTTAGGCAAAGATCTTTTATACATCCTAAGTTATAGTAAGAAAAACATATCTCTTTGACAGTTTAAAGTTTTAAAATGCAATTTAAAAACTTGTGTTATTAATGATGTGTATATTTTTTTCTCTCATTTTATATTTTAATTGATTCCTCAAATTTTGTTTTTACTAACTTGGTTGCTGAGTAGGAAGTGCAGTTTATACTATATTCACATGATAGACATGAAAAAGAGACTATTATTTTCTTAAGGAAACTGGTGGTCTTGTGTCTAGCTATAGTAAAGGATTTTTGAATGGAAGTTTTCTTAAACCTCTGGTTAAATGTTTAATATACTTGATACTCTGTTGGAATAAATTGTTATGTAAAGGCACAATGGAGAGAAAGATCTGCAAGGTTATAATATGTAAACCATATAGGAAAAGTCAACAGCCAAAAGAGAAATTGAGTGTAAAAAAATTCCAAAAGAACAAAGGACATGAACAGGCAATTTATCGAAAAAAGATACTTGAATAACTAACAAACCTGTAAAGTGAGACTCATAATTGTTATCTATCAGACACCTACAGTGAGTTACAATGATCTCTCATCTCACCTTTGCAAGAATATCACAGGCCTTTGCAAACCCTATGAACAGGAGAGGAATGCAGGTAGTTATAGTAGGGTAGTGGTAGAACCCAGATTGGATATCACTTGAAATGAGGAAGAACAATGAGAAACATTGTTTACTAGTTGGAACATGGAATGTGCATAGCTTAAGTGTTTGAAAACTGGAAATTGTAAAAAAATGAAATGAAACACATGAACATATGAACATTGACATACTAGGCATTAGTATAGTGAGATAAGATGGACTAACTTTGTTTGGCCTCTTTGAATCAGATATATGATATACTATGCTGGGAATGTTGGATTCATATTGAAAAAGTCAAGTTCAAGTTCTATCCTGAAATACACTGTTTTGAATGATAGAATATTATCCATAAGCGTACAAGACAGTTGTTGATTGCCTTTGAGTTGAGCATGACTTATAGCGAACCTTTGAACAAAAGGCCTTAGATCTTTCTATAACTGTCAAACTTTATCGAAGTTCATAGAGTTTCCAGAGACATGTTGTATAGGAAATGGATGCCACTCTTGCTTCCAAGTACAAGACAGTAGTAGGTATATATTAATTCTGAGGATAGGAAATCAATACAGCTCGATAACTGAAGACCCTGAGAGGTATGGGAGAATAAAAGAACTACAGTAAATACACTAACATATACAATTTTACAAAAGCAATAATAAGCAAAAATACGTGAGTGGCTACCTAGGTAGTTGTATATGCTGTGTGCCATGGGAAGGCATATGAGAATATATGTACATATATATCTAGGTGTATTTATGAGCATATGCATATAAATTCATGTATACAATAAAGTGCATGGTTCTATATACTTTGTAGAGAATCATCACCTTGTGTGATTAATGTACTGGATTTAAAGATTCAGGATCATAGTCTTATGGCACAGCCCAATTGTTGGCATAATTTAGTTCATAAAGACAAAGTTCTGCATCCTAGTTTAGAGTGTTAGGGGTTTTAAAAGTAGCCATCTTATATCTATTGTTATCTATTGGTCTGGAGTAAAGAATGTAAAGGAAACCAAAGACACAAAGAAAAAACTTAATCCACAGGGCTAATGACCCTTGTTCAACACAGTCTTTGGTAGCCTGAGACCAGAACTCAATAGTGTCCAGCTACCACTGCTGACCGTTTTGAATCGGAGAAAGATCTAGAATTCAAATAAATAGAAAAGAGCAGACTCATTAGACTGATAGAGACTAGAGGAAACCTTGAGACTTACTGTCCTAAGACCTTTTTTTTTAACCTTTAACTCAATCCAATTATTAGAAATAACCTTTCGGCTAATAACTGTAAACTATAAGTAATAATACTTACAAAGAACATACTTTTTAAACAACCAACTATATGAAATTTAGCAGTCAACATTTACATGAAAGAAACGAGGAGGCAGGCAGGGCCAAGGAAAAGGAATGGATGGAAATGAGGTAGTTGAGATGGAAGTTGTGAGGATGCCAAGACATTACAGGAGTGATAACCAGTGTCACAGAACAATTTGTGTATTTATTACTTGTTGAACATATTTATTACTTGTTGAACATAAATGGGAATATTTTACTATGTAAACTGTCACCTAAAATGCAATACATAGTAAAAAAGGGTAATTTAAAAAAGAAAAATTATTAAAATAGTGAGAATGTTTCAAAATTGAGATTTATTTATTTTATTTTGAATAGGTATCACAAGCTGGGAACAGGATTTAATCCCAATACATTAGATAAACAGAAAGAAAGGCAAAAAGGGTTGCCAAAACAAGTCTTTGAATCTGATGAAGCTCCGGATGGCAGCTACCAGGATGAGCAAGTAATAGTTTTTTAAAAAATATGACTTATGGTATTTTAAAGCCATTTCTGTTTATCAATTAATATATTTAATGTTTTGCATGACAGGATGATCTTAAAAGACGTTCAATGTCAATAGATGATACTCCAAGGGGTAGCTGGGCCTGCAGTATTTTTGACTTGAAAAATTCGCTTCCTGATGCTTTGCTTCCCAATTTACTTGATCGTACTCCTAATGAAGAAATAGACCATCAGAATGATGACCAAAGGAAATCAAACCGCCACAAAGAACTGTTTGCTTTGCATCCCTCACCAGATGAGGTACAATAAGAAATACAAAAGTAAATCATGATTATTAAGATAAATATTTTAATCTGAATATAAATTGTATATCAAACTCAGAAATGCAAACTCACCACCATCTAGTCAGTTCTGACTACTAACCTAGCACCATGTTTCTGAGGTGATAAATCTTAATGGAGAAAATTGCCCATCTTTCTCTTTGGGAACAGCTAGGGGATTCGAGTCCCTGGAGAAGTGCAGCCTGTTGGTTAGCAGTGCAACTTGCTACAAAACACTGCCCAGAACTCCTTAAATTATGTGTGTTGTTACATACCATCAAGTTGGAACCAACTCATAGCTGACCCTCCAGCATGTTTTCAGAGGCAGTAAATCACACTGAAAAAGACTGCCCATCTTTTCCTCAGAGAGCAGCTGATGGATTTGAAACACATGCCTTTCGGAATGCAGCACCATTCCTTTGAAAAATGGTTACCTTTTCTAGAAATTAGATATGCCTCTCATACTAATATATTTAAGGGAACTCTCGTGGTGTAATCAGAAGTGAATTACACTGCTAACTCAAAGGCTGCTTTTCTCTGCCTGTTCAAATCCACGAGCCATTCTGCATGAGAAAAGTTTTGTGCTGTCAAGTTGCCTGTAACTCATAGTGACTCTGTGTACAACAGCCCTAAACCCTGCTCTATCCTGTGCCAATCTCACTGTCTCCAACACACCTACTTCAGTTATCCCAGTCACTGAATCAGTCCATCTCATAGAGGGTCTTCCTTTGCTGTGCTGTCCCTCCACTCTCCCAAGCAAGACATTCCTCTCCAAGGACTGGTCCCTCCTTAAAACATGTTCAGAGCTTCAGACGAAGCTTCAGAATCCTTGCCTCCAAGGAGCAGCCTAGTTTGATGCCTGTATAGTTTATAACCTTTTCAAAACTACTCAGGGGTCAGAGAGGAGTTGTTTCAAACTTGATAACAATAAATGAGTTAGTTGATTTATTATTGTTAATAAATAACTTCTGAGTTAAGCATATTTATGATCTAATGTCTTCTGTTTCTGTATATGTTTTTCCTCTATTTAAAATTGTGAGGATAAGAGGTATTAGATTTGTAAAATAAGTTCTTAAAGAATAAATGATAAATGATTGGAATATTATAAGGATATTAATTTTGATGTTTATCAATTGGTAGGAAGAACCAATAGAACGACTTAGTGTTCCTGATGTACCCAAAGAACATTTTGGTCAAAGACTTCTTGTAAAGTGTTTATCACTCAAGTGAGTATATATTTTACTCTATAGCTTTTCTTTTCTGGAATGATAGCTTAAATATAATAATTCTAGTAGTTATTTTATTTGCATGTGTGTACTTTTGAGGTATATTCTTCTGTTCCTATTTTTAAGCGCTATTAAGTATTTAAACTTATATATGAAGTTGAATTTTAAAGCCTTTTTTGTCTCACAGGTAAAGATAGCTCTTTGTTAAAGTTGAATAGTCTTAAAGTTTGAAAGAATATCCAGTAGAATCTATACAATTTACCAGACAATATTCAAGACATAATCAGATATAAAGAAAAGGGATCATTTTCCTGAAGGAGTTGATTTTTTTTGTTTCATGGTAATCTGTATTTTTGTCTAAGTGTATATACTTTCTTCTTAAAAAAGTAATTTAATTGGCATCTGATGTAGTATTATTGTAATCATGTATCTTCCATTTATATTCTGCTTTACAAAAATGCTTTCATTTGCTTCAATGTGTAGATTGATTTATGAAGTATATATATCTATGTATTTTGCAAATGAGGAAACCAAAGTTCAAAGGAATTATCAAGGCTTAATTGGCATGCTCATTATTATGGGCAAGCAGGATTTGGAAGACAAACTGTTATACTGCTTTATGTCATGTTAGTATTTTAACTACTATTTGTTTGTTTGACTTAACAAAAACGGTATTTCAATTCTTAGAGCTTTTTTAAAGGAGCAGTTTATTTATTTGAATAACCTAGGTAATTTATCCAGAAACTTGTTAGAAGATTTAATGTGTACAGTCTATTGAATATCATTTTTTTCTTAATGATCTTCTTTATTTTTGTAATTATTTTAATTGAGATATAATTGATATACCTTAAAATTTACCCTTTAAGTTGTACAAGAAAGTATTTTTAGTACATTCAAAGTCTTGTAACTATTCTCAAACCAGTGATAATTAGTAGCCATTGAGTTCCAACTTGGTGACCAAACTTGTATGTCAGAATAAGTAGGAATGTGTAGGGTTTTCAGTGACTGACTTTTGAAAGTAGATCCCTATGTCTGTCTTCTGAGGTGTCTGGTTAGACTTGAACTCAGCGTAAACTCTTGGTTAGTAGCCAAGTAAGTTAACCATTTATACCATCCACGGACTTCCTACCATTGTCTAATCCCAGAAATCAGAAATAAACTGTTTTCTTTTTTTTTTTCCTGATTTTTTTTTTATTAATTTTAACGAATATTTACAGAGATTTTTGGATTTCTATTCATTCATTGTTGCATTTTTCTCCCTGTCCACCCCTCCTCCTCCCCCGTTTGCTCTTCTCTTTGAGTAGTAAAAGAAAATTCCTTCATTGGTATACAAATCTCCACCCCCCAAAAACTGTTTTCTTTATCAGTCATTCCTCATTCTAGAAACAGAAAGCTAGTTCTGGCAGCAGCTAATCTACTTTGTTTCTATCAGTTTGCCTCTTTCTCCATTTTCCACTGTAAGAAATTATACATGTGAACTTTTGTGTCTGACTTCTTTCATTTAATGTAATATTTTCAAGATTTATTGATATTCCCAAATATTGGTATATCAGTACTTTATTACTTTTGTGTGTGTGTATGTGTGAGAGAGACTATCAGTGCTGCAGGAAACACAATTATTTCTTCAATAAAATATTTTTCTTTTAAAAAAATGTCACTGTGAATCATATTATTTTCCTAGTAGAGAGGAAAGACCATGGTCATGTAGTGTAATCTTGGGTTAGGGTTAGGGTTAGGGGGTGAGATTAATTTCCATGTGCTGCACAGCAGAGGGAGTGTGGGTACCAGGAACTGTGGTTGTGTTCTCAATTGAGGGGACTAAGGGTCTGTCCTTTGCTGTACAGTCACTGAAGCTGTAAGTCTGGTACACCTGGAACAATTTGTCCAAGCTGGTGATGCAGAATTGTCCAGGGCATACCACATTGTTGGATGTAACCCCATTGTAGTTCCCTCAAGCCATCTAGATGTGTCCTTGAAATGCCAGAGAGGCCTTACTGGAAACCCAGAATTCTTTCCTTAGTATAAGGTCCTTGAAGAGTAAAGGTAAAATACACCCATACCTGACTTACTATGTCATTATCTGATACTTCACAGTAGTGAATGTCTGACTTATTTTGCACAGTTTTGAATGCCAAGGGAGAGTAGCCCTGGTTGTGTTGGTTGAAGTTATGTGACATTTTGGCCAGGTCATGATTTCTAGTGGTTTGGCACTTGCAGAAGCATCTTATTTGACATTATGTAATCAGATAGTTAAATTCCATTTTGTAGTCTGATGTGATCACAATGTTTTAACATAATGCCAGTTTTCACTGATGACACTGAGTTGACCTGACCTGGACATTGTCTAGAGATGTTTTCACTCAAGTACCAGTTGTATTGTTTTCTTTTGAGTCATAACTGACCCTCTAGCAGGTTTTTAGAGGTAGTAAATCACACAAGAGGGGAGGGCCTCGCCTCTCTTGGAAAAGCTGGTTGGTTTGAACCATGTGTGTTGGGGATTGCCAAGCAGTTTTTACCATCAGGCTACTCATGCTCCCTCAAATAACAATAGAGAGAGAATTTATTAGTTGCAGGCCTAGCTCAAGGAATCCATAAGGGTTGTTCTTTAATTAGAAGGAAAATGAGCCAAATGGAAGTTCTGAGATGCCAGAAGAAATGAAAACATTGAAAAGGTAAATTTGAATAAATTTGACTATCTAAAGCATAAATAAGGATCTATTTCCTTATTTACATTACAGCAACAATGAACAAACCCAGTGTCTTTTACTCAGAGTGAGTTCAGAACCATCTAATATTTACAAGTAAAAATCAGTAAAGTCTTAAAAGTTTTTACAAGAAGAGGTTGCCTATATTTTGTCAGACTGCTTATATACTTTCTCGATGACTTTCAAATTGTGACTTTTGGTTAACACTGTTCCTTTTCATTACAGCAGTGCCATGTATATTGAGAGAGAAATATCATTAAAGCTTTTGAAAGTCTGGGAGCAGGATAAAATTATCAAGTAACATCAACTTTTGAGACATTGTAAATAAAGTATAACTACATACTTTAAAAAGTACATTACTGCATGCTAACATGTTATTATATATGGTTGAGTGGTAACCCTCTGATAGCTGACCCTCCAGCAGGTTTTCAGAGACAGTTATTGCCTGGGAGGAGATTGCCCATCTCCTCCTGCAGAGTGGCTGGTAAATTCAGACTATTCAAGTAAGAGAAAATAATCATTAAGAAGGAAGAAATGAAAGACAAAGTAGATAGAGCACACAAGAAAAATAGAAAACAATTGTAGATTTAAGCCAAATACATAAATAATTATGTGAAGTGTATTACTATTAGCTTTAAAGATATAAAAAAGTTAAAAAATGAAAATGGTAAGTTATGTTTAAGACTAAATCACTGCAGGGTATAGACAGGGGTGCTTTATAGTACCTGGAAAGTCTAAGTAGTTTTACTCTGTAACACATGAATTGCCATTGTTTAAGGCTAACTTGATGGCACCTAACAACAATAGTAATATAAAATCAAAATACATAAAACAGACTGTAGAGCTATAAGGAAAAAAGACATTTACAGTAATAATGAAAGATTTTAGTGTAATTTAATTTTCATATTAACTGAGAGGAAAACAGATCACTAAGGATGTAAACATTTATCATGTGATTAGCAAAATAGACTTAGGGATCATAGTCAATTCTTTTATAACTGTTTTGAAAATGCTAATTATTTCAAATGGCTTCACTGATAAGTTCTGTCAAACATTTTAAGAAATGACATTAAAATGAAAACTTCAGAGGAAAGAACAAGAAGAAGCTGTTATCTACTTGCTTTATGAAATTGTATAATGTTATCTATAAGCCAATAATGTCTTGGGGATGCTATGATAAATGAGCACACATTCAGTGTCTTCAAACAGCAGAAAGTTGAGTAAAAAAAAACACAACAAAACAGCAGAAAGTTATACTTCTTGCTTCTGGAGATGAGAATTCCAAATTCAGAGCCACCTTATCTAAAGGTTGTGAATGAAGATAATTTCTTGTCTTGTCTGAATCCTGATGGCCCCAGATTTTTCTTGACTTCCAGCAGGATAACTCCAAAATCTTCCTCTGTCTTCCTCTTCTCTCTGTATTTCTCTCCTCCTTTCTTTTTTAAAAAAATAATTTATATGTATGTGAGTGTGTGTTTCCTCTTCTGAGATCGGTAGCCTAATTGGATTAGGCACTGTCATAGTCCAGTATGACTTCACATTACCTAAATACATATGTGAAGATCTTACTTCTAAATGAGGTCAAATCCATAAGATTTAAACTGATCTCTTTTTTGGATGTTGTTGTTGTTTGTTGTTATGTGCCGTCGAGTCCTTTCCGACTCATAGCGACCCTATGCACAACAGCCCTAAACCCTACTCTATCCTGCGCCAACCGCACCGCCTCTGACACACCCATCCCGATTACCCCAGTCACTGAATCAATCCATCTCATAGAGGGTCTTGCCCTCAGTTCAATTTTGAGACATGATTTTATACATGAATCTCAATCTTGGATGTAATTGTAGAAATTCTAAACAATATGTTAGTAAATAATCTGGTTTTCCAATTCAATAATACAGAATCTAGACTTCCAGGCTGGGTTTAGAAGAGGTCGTGGTACTAGGGATATTGTAGCTGATGTTAGATGGATCTTAGCTGAAAGCAGGGAATACCAGAAGAATGTCTATCTGTGTTTCATTGATTATGCAAAGGCGTTTGACTGTGTGGATCATAACAGACTGTGGCTGACTGTGAGAAGAATGGGAATCCCAGAACATTTAATCATGCTAATGCGAAACCAATACTTGGACCAAGAGGCAGTAGTCAGAACAGGGCAGGGTAACACTGCATGGTTCAAAATTGGGAAGGGTGTACGCCAGGGATGCATCCTATCTCCATACCTTTTCAGCCTGTATGCAGAGCAGATTATCCACGAGACTGGGCTCTATGAGGAGAATTGTGGCATCAGGATTGGTGGAAGATTTATTAATAGTCTGCATTATGCAGATGACACAACCCTGCTTGCTGAAACTGAGGAGGACCTCATGCACTTGCTGCGGAGGGTCAAGGACTGCAGCCTTCAGTATGGACTGAGGCTCAATGTCAAGAAGACAAAGATTCTCACCACTGGACCAATTGGTAGCATCAGGTTGGATGACGAAGAGATTGAGATTGTTCACAGCTTCAGTTTGCTTGGCTCCATGGTCAACACTCTTGGCACCAGCAGTCAGGAAATAAAAAAAAATTTATTGCGATGGGAAAGTCTGCTGTTAGGTACCTCTCTAAAGTACTCAAGAGCAACAGTGTCTCTCTGGAGACTAAGGTGCGCCTGATACAGGCCATGGTCTTTGCTATCACTTGTTATGCATCAGAGAGTTGGACACTGACTAGTGAGGACAGGAGAATTGATGCCTTTGAGCTGTGGTGCTGGAGAAGAGTATTGAATGTACCCTGAAAGAGTATTGAATGTGCCAAGAAAACAAACAAGATTCCAAGATTCATCCTGGAGAGGATTAAACCAAGCAACTCCTTGGCGGCAAGGATTCTGGGGCTTCGTCTGACATACTTTGGGCATGTTGCAAGGAGGGACAGGTCCTTGGAGAGGGACATCATGCTTGGGAGGGTGGAGGGACGGCGCAAGAGGGGAAGACCCTCTATGAGATGGATTGATTCAGTGACTGGGGTAATCAGGATGGGTGTGTCAGAGGCAATGCGATTGGCACAGGATAGAGCAGGGTTTAGGGCTGTTGTACATAGGGTCATTATGAGTCGCAAACGACTTGACGGCACATAACAACGACAGACTTCATTTTTATATATTGTTGTTGTTAGGTACTGTTGTGTTAGCTTCGACAACATTGACCCTGTGTATAACAAAAACAAAATCCTACTCAGTCCAGCAAACCATACTTCTGATCCTTGTTATTTTAGCTCAGTGTCTCACTCAATATGCCATTTAATCTTCTTGAGATCCTCTTTTTTTTTTTTTCCACTGACCCTTTGCTTTTCCAAGCATGATGCCCTTTTCCTAAAGACTTACCTCTCGATAATGTCCCAAAATATGTGAGACTAAGTTTCATCATGTTTGCCTCCAAGGAGATCACGGTATTTCTTCCAGTACAGACTTGTTTGTTCTTTTGGCAGCCATCACTACCACAATCCAAAGGAGTTTTAAAAATTGCACACTTTTAGGCCAAACATTGCACTTCTTTTGTGGTGATTTTAAAGGTTAATATAAAAAAAATAGTTATCTTTAAAAGGTTTATAATTTGGTAGGAAAGTCAGTAATCTGCTCATGCATCAGTGGAGTGTAGGACCGTATAACTATGGTTGATGGGTCAGATCCAGGCAGCTGCTTTTTTTGTGCTGGATTGCAAGTTAAGAATGGTATTTGCAAAAATTTAAAAAATATTTTGTGATATGAAAAGCTGATGTCAAATTCAAATTTTAGTTCCCATAAACAAAGTTTTATTGGAGCACAATTATGGTCCTTTATTTACATATTTATTATCTGACTGTTTTGCTATTACATTACTCATTCGTGTTAATCGTGACAGATTGTATCGCTCAGAAATCTTAAAATGTTTTTGCTGGCTTTTTATGGAGAGTTCTAGTGGCACACTATTTTGTAGTTGTTAGGTGCCAACAAATCAAGTATAACTTATAGTGACCTTATGAGCAACAGATCTGAATCCTGTCCTGTTTTATGCCATCACATCATTTCTGACATACTTGAGCCCATTGCTGCAATCACTGTGTTGATCCATATGGTTGAGGATCTTCTTTTTCACTTACCCTCCACCTTTTTCAAGCATGATGCCTCTTTCCAAAAAATAGCGTACCTAACAACATTCCCAAAGAATGTGAGCTGAAACTTCTTTATCTGTGCCTCCAAGGAGCACTCTATTTGTTTATTCTTTTGGCAGTCCATAGGATACTCAGTACTCTTTTCGAACACTATGGCTTTAAAGTGATGCCAAGGCCTTAATTCTTCTCTCGGACTTATTCACTGTGCAAGTCACAGATTAAATTATTTGACAATTTCTAGAACAAATACATATGTCTTGAATAAGTACAGCCAGAGTGCTCCTTGGAGGCAAAGATAATGAAACTCTGTCTCTTTACTTTGGACATGTTAATAAGAGAGGCTTTTTCTTGGAGAGAGACATCATACTTGGAAAGGTAGAGGAAAAGCAAGGAAGACCCTCAACAATATGGATTGACAAACTTACTGCAGCATTGGGCTCAAAGTGTGTCAGGGGTGATGAGGATGGCACTGGATAGGACAGAGTTTAGTCATGTTGTTCATAGGGTTGTTGTGGGTTATATTCAACTTTACAACAACTAACAGCAACATGGGATATAAATTTCATTTCTATATGTTGTTGTTAGGGATCTCTGGTGTGGTGGTCTAGTGGCGAGATGCTGCACTGCAGTCCTGTAGGCACAGGGTTTGATACCACCACCTGCCCTGGAGGAGAAGAATGGGCAATCTCCTCCATGCTTTAACTGCCTTTGAAAACTTGCTGGAGGAGCAGCTGTGAGTTGGTTCCAATTCTGCAGTACACAACAACAACAACAACAACAACAACAACATATGTTGTTGTTTGTGACTCACTGTGACCCCATATTCAAGCTCTGAATCTTCATCTTGAGCCAATTTCATTGTTTTCAATACACCTACCCCCATTACCCCAGTCACTGAGTCAATCCATCTCATCCAGGGTCTTCCTCTCTTGTGCTGTCCTTCCACCCTTCCAAGTATGATGTCCATCTCCAAGGACTGGTTCTTCCTGGCAACGTGCCCAAAAGTACTTGAGACAGAGCTTAAAAACCCTTGCCTTGGAGGATTTCATCCCGTCCAAGACAGACCTGTTTGCTCTCTTAGGAGTCCATGCTATGTTTAATACTCTTCTCCAGTACCACAACTCAAAGGCAGATGTGAAAGTGGGGTTTAGAAGAGGCCATCATACTAGGGACGTTATAGCCAATGTTAGATGGATCTTGGTTTGAAAGCAGAGAGTACCAGAAGAATGTCTATGTGTTTCATTGACTATGCAAAGGTATTTGACAACAAATAGTAGCTAACCTTGAGAAGAATGGGAATTCCACAATACTTAATTGTGCTTTTGCAAAACCTATACTTGGACCAGGAAGCAGTCATCAGAATTGAGCAAGGAGACACTGCATAGTTCAAAAAACGAATAAAGTGTTCGTCAGAGATGCATCCTATCTCCATAGCTTTCCAACCTATATGTGGAACAGACCATTCGAGAGGCTGGAGTATATAAGGAGGAATGTAGCATCAGGATTGGAGGAAGACTGATCAACAATCTGTGTTATGCAGATGACATAAGATTGCTTGCTGAAACTGAGGAGGAACTGAAGCGTTTGGACTGTCATCTTCAGTATGAATTATGGCATAATATTAAGAAAACAAAGATTCTCACCACTGGGCTAAATGGCAGCATCATGTTAACAGGTTCAGCTTGCTTAGTTCCTCAATCAGTGTTCTTGGTAGAAGCAGCTAGCAAATTAAAAGATGAATTGTATTGGGAAAATTTCCTGTCAAGGACCTTCTCAGAATACTGAAGAAGAACCTAAGGTGCACTTGATCCAGGCCATGGTCTTTACAATTACTTGCTATTTATTAAAGAGCTGGATATAGAAGAAGAATTGATGCCTTTGAGTTGTGGTGCTGGAGAAGAGTCTTGAACATTCCATGCAATGCCAAGAGAACAAACAGGTCTGATTTGGAGAGGGTGAAACAAGGCTGCTCCTTAGAGGCTAGGATTTTGAAGCTCTGTCTGACATACTTTGGGTACGTGGCCAGGATGCACCAATCCTTGGAGAACGACATCATGCTTGGAAAGGTGGAGGGGCAGTGCAGGAGAAGACGACCCCAGGTGACATGGATTGACACGGTAACTGGGCTACTGGGGTATATGTGTCAGAGACAGTAAGATTGGCTCAGGATAGGACAAGGTTCAGTGCTGTTGTACATAGGGTCACTGAATTGCAAGTAACTCGACAGCATGTAACATAAATGTTGTTCTTTGTGATGTCCATAGAAAATTATGCTTGGAAAGATTGAGAGTTGGACTAAGAGGAAGACCCTCAACTAGATGGATTGACACAGTGACTGCTGCAGTGGATTCCAGTCTATTAGAAAGTATGAGGATGGCACAGGTTAGGATAGGGTTCAGATCTTTTGTTTATAGGGTTGGTGTGGGTCATTCTTGACTTGGTGGCATCTAATAACAACAGTATATATAGAAATACTCATACAGACATTATCTTGCTGAAAGAAAAGCTGTGTTACCTTTGGTTTTGCAAAGATTTTTTTGTGGGTGAAATCATGACTGGTTAACATGCACAATTATGAAGAAAAAAATTAATATTACAGATAGAAGATAAGTAGTGGCACAAAACAGAAATAACAAAATACCATTGAATTATTAGGCAATTTGAGATTATTTTTAGCTGGAGATATCAATGATTATCAACTGGAAGATGTAATGGCTGATTTATACTGTGAAAGATATTTGTGGAAACTAATTCTAGGATAAAGACAATAGAATAGACAGTGAATAGACAGTGGCACAGATGGTGACTTTTTGGCATGAGAATTTTCTTTTAGCTATATTGTTTACATTTATTTTGAAATTGTTATATCTTTTTCCTTCTTAAAGGTTTGAGATTGAAATTGAGCCTATCTTTGCGAGCTTGGCTTTATATGATGTTAAGGAAAAGAAGAAGGTAAAGTTACATAATTTAAATAAAGGTTATAATTTTAGATTTTATAAATTTAATTTTATAAATCTAATTTTAAATTGTTTTGTAAGGTAGCTATTGTTTGAAAATTATTGAGCAAGGATATTTTAAAAATGAAAATTGAAACATTATTTAATGTTGTTTCAAAACCAATAAGCAAAAGCAAGTTTCTTGAAAGAAATGGAAAAGTATTTTAAATGGTATAGAACAAGAGATTAATTAATGACAGTGAACATATATTGCTGCATGTTTTAAAGTTTCACCAGCTAAAAGATCACTTGGATGTATCTCAAATGTTAAAAGATTATATATATTTTTGAAAATACTAGTTCATATCTCAATTTATTATTTCAAATAAACTTAAAGTGTGGATTTTTTTGGTTAATATATAAAATAAAGATTTGTGTATTTTAGCTCTGCAGTAGCAACTTGTATTTTTTGAAACAAAAGCTGCTGAAATTATTGCTGCTATTCATGTAATTTTAAAATATAAGTTTGGAGGGGTGGACATAAATTATTTTTTATGTTCATTATTTTTTTAAATTTTTTTATGTTCATTATTAAAGTTGATTTTTAATAATGATTCTCTACACTATTTTATTTTTCAATTTATTAAATTTTTTTTGTTTTGACTGGGACAAAGATGCCACAAATGATGTATAAAGCTATTGGTGAGAGTATTGTATGCTAATATCTACTGTTTTGAGGGTATATATGGGTTATTTTTGTGAATTTTTAGAACATGAATTAATTAAAAAAATTAATATTGAATATATTTTTTAGATTTCAGAAAATTTTTATTTTGACCTTAATTCTGAGCAGATGAAAGGATTGTTACGTCCACATGTACCACCTGCAGCCATTACTACCCTGGCAAGATCAGCTATTTTTTCTATAACTTATCCTTCCCAAGATGTTTTTCTTGTAATTAAGGTGAGAATAATGATAAATATTACTTATTTTCTGTTTATATATACTTGCCTGTCTATATTGCAAACTTTTTAAGGATAAACATTTTACATTATACTCACTCCGAGTTTATTAACTATCTTGTTTCTCTACATTTTGCATTTATGACATTATTTAAAAATCTACCCAGATATTTTACTCATTAACCTCATGTGTCTGGCAGGGATAAATACTAAGATGCCTCAAGGCAAGGATAACACTGCATGTGATGGTTAAGGATATGTGTCAGCTTATGTAATGATAGAATTTGTCAATTATAGAATGCTGTCATCTTCCACCATTTTCTTTTCTGATCACCTTCCATTTTTGTGCAGTGCCAAATTTTGCCTAACATTCTGGTCTTCAGAATCTTATGCCAATAAGTGAAGGTGACTGTACTTTCTGTTGTTGTTATCACAGTACTGGGCATACAGATTTTTTTTGGGCTGCTTAAGGTTTTTCTGTACTTTTGTTTTATAATTTAGTTTCCATATCATAAATATTGAACTTGGGTAATGAAACAATAGAAAATTATAACTTTGACTGCTAGCCAGTTAAGAGTAAGAATTAAAAATTCTAAATCTGAATCTTGTTCAGCTGTAGAATCTTGTTCATCTGAGTAACTTAAAAAATAATTTACCATAACTAAAAATAATACATCATGGGGATTCTTTGAGGGTAGCTTAAAATATACTCCTTAATAATTCTATCTTTATTTATGTAAAATTATCGTAAAATGATAATGAGTTTTATAATAAGGTTATATGAAATGGAGTGTCATCAAATGAATTCTGTTTACCCCCAGGAATAATGTCCTAATTTATGCTTACATTGGGGTTAAAGTTTATCTTAGTTACAATTAACTCTTTGTCCTACAAGCAAAGGTTTAGTAGAGGTCTAGTTGTTCATGAATTAGCTCTGGTGGTCTACTGGCAAGAAGCTGTGCTGCAATTCTGAAGGCACACAGTTTGTGGCCACCTGTTGCTCCACAGGAAGAGGATGGACAGTCTCCTTCTGAGCAATAAACTGCCTCTGAAAACCCGCTGGAGGGTCAGCTATGGGTAGATTCCGACTTCAGTGGTCCACAACAACAAAAATGAAGTTGTAGTTCTTAATATAATTGACAGAGGTAATACACTTATTTTTTTAAGCTTGCATATATTAGGGGAAATGAGCTGGAAAGATAAAAGGTGATAGTTGGAATATTGACCATTTTAAGGTGTCCATCAATGCAACTTAAATATGTCTGGGACTACCTGTATAGAATATTTCAAAAAAGTTAAATGAATTGGTATTTTTGATTTCAAGAAGAGGGATGGAAGTGGTTGATGACAGGACAATGTGAGGAATTTTTGACTGTACTTATTTGTACATTTAAGTTTGGTTTGGGTTGGGGGTGTGTGTGTGTGTGTGTGTGTGTGTGTGTGTGTGTGTGTATATGTATATATTTGAACCATAATAAACTTGATAATAAGGTGTTTGGTTTTAATTTTTGTTTTTTGTTATAAATCTGTCATTAAGTTGGAAATGACTCAGAGTTGGCCATCTAGTGGATTTTTAGAGGCAGTAAATCGCATGGGAGAAAATGCCCCATCTACCACCACCTAGCAGCCGGTGAATTTGAACTGTGATTTCAGGTTGGCAGTGCAGCTCCTTACCCTGTAGTCACTATGCACGACCAATTATTTAGGGAATATAAAATAAAAGCAAAAATTTCTCAAAATTATAACATGTAGAATTATTGTTAACTGTTGGTGAATATGTTCTAATAATAATCTTATGCATTTATAAACATATAGATCATTCTTCATATCCTCTTTTTACCTACTTTTTGTTGAATAGTATTTCATAGACTGCTAGATTTCTGTACTTCCAGTCTGTTTTATTTAGCTATCTTCTTTATAAAAAAACCTTAAAATTTTACGTGTGCAAGTGGGACATATTGGAGAAATGTGTTAAGTGGGAACTATTTTATCCTCTTAGGAATATTATTCTGTGAGTTGTGTTTCTTAATTGTAATTTTTCTTTTTTGTAATTACACTCAGTAGTGATTGATCTGTAGTTGTCTAATTTTTCAAAATCTAGTTAATCTTGACATTTTTATCATCAATAGCTAGAAAAAGTCCTACAGCAAGGAGACATCGGAGAATGTGCAGAACCATATATGATTTTCAAAGAAGCAGATGCCACCAAGGTAAAATGTGCTTTCCTTACCTGCTCCTTATTACTATTATAATTTGGGAGAATGGTATACATGACATGTTAAAAAATTTTACTACTAATTCCTTATTTTTCTATTGACTGGGTTAATTTTTTTGGTCACCTAGCTTTTGTTTGTTCTATTTTACTCTTTATTTTGTGGAATATGTTTCCGTCTTTTCCTTTCAACTCATTCTTGTACTTAGTTTTAAGAGGTAGGTTCTGTAAACAGTATATAATTAATTCATGTAATTTTCCTTCTGTTCCTATTATCTTGACGGCTCTTATCAAGAAAGGGATTTGAGTTTTAATAAATAATTTTTCTACATCCACAGAGATGATCATGTTGTTGTTATGTGCCATTGAGTCACTTGTGACTCATAGTGACCCTTTGTACAGCAACCCTAAACCCTGCTCTGTCCTGTGCCAATCGCACTGCCTCTGACACACCCATTCCAGTTACTCCAGTCACTGAATCAGTCCACCTCATAGAGAGTCTTCTCCTCTTGCGCCGTCCCTCCAGCCTCCCAAGCATGATGTCCCTCTCCAAGGACCTGTCCTTCCTTACAACATGTCCAAAGTATGTCAGATGAAGCCTCAGAATCCTTGCCTCCAAGGAGCAGCCTGGTTTAACTCTCTCCAGGATAAATCTGTTTTCTTGGAAGTCCATGGTGCAGTCACTACTCTTCTTCAGTACCACAGCTCAACAACATCAATTCTCCTTCTATCCTCCTTAGTCATTGTCCAACTCTTTGATGCATAACAAGTGATTGCAAAGACCATAGCCTGTATCAGATGCACCTTAGTCTCCAGAGTGTCCCCATTGCTCTTCAGTACTCTGGAGAGGTCCCTCACAGCTGACTTTCCCATTGCAATACGTTTTTAATTCCTGGCTGCTGGTGCCAAGAGTGTTGACCATGGAGCCAAGCAAACTAAAGCTGTGAATAATCTCAATATCTTCACCATCCATTCTGACATTGCCAGTTGGTCCAGTGGTGAGAATCTTTGTCTTCTTGACATTGAGCCTCAATCCATGCTGAAGGCTGCAGTCCTTGACCCTCTGCAGCAAGTGCATGAGGTCCTCCTCCGTTTTGGCAAGCAGGGTTGTGTCATCTGCATAATGCAGATTTTTAATAGATCTCCCACCCATCCTGACGCCACACTTCTCCTTATAGAGCCCAGCCTCTCAGATAATCTGTTCTGCATGCAGGTTGAAAAGATATGGAGATAGGACACATCCCTGGCATACACCCTTCTCAAATTTGAACCATGCAGTGTTTCCCTGCTGTGTTCTGATGACTGCCAATCAAGCATGATCAAGTGTTCTGGTATTCCCTTTCTTCTCAGAGTCAGCCACAGTTTGTTATGATCCACACAGTCAAATGCCTTTGCATAATCAAGGAAGCACAAGTAGACATCCTTCTGGTATTCCCTTCTTTCAGCCAAGATCCATCAAACATCAGCTACAATATCCCAAGTGCCACGACCCCTTCTAAATCCATCCTGGACTTCTGGCAGTTCTCTGCTGATATGCTGTTCCAGTTGTTTTTGGATAATCTTCAGTAGAATCTTGCTTGCATGTGATATCAATGATATTGTTCTGTAGTTTTCACACTCTGTTGGGTCACCCTTCTTTGGAATGGAATCTCTTCCAGTCAGTTGGCCAAGTGGTTGTTATCCACATTTCTTGGCACAACTTGGTGAACACATCCAGGGCAGCATCTGTTAGCTTAAATATGTCAGTTGGTATACCATCTATTCCTGGGGTCTTATTTTTTGCTGTTTCCTTCAGAGCAGCTTGAACTTCTTCCTTCATTACCATACGCTCTTTCTCATATGTTATTTCATTTAATTCTTCTGTGTCTGCCAATTCCTTTCGATATAGTGATTCAGTATATTCTTTCCATCTTCTTTTAATACTTCCTGGATCATTTAATATTCTGCCTAAAGCATCCTTGATTATAATGACTCGAGGTTTGAATTTGTTCTTCAGTTCCTTGAGCTTAAAAAATACTGAAGGCGTTCAGCCCTTTTGATTTTCCAACTCCAGCTCCTTGTACATTTCATTGTAATATTTTGCTTTGTCATCCTGTGCTGCCTTTTGGAATCTTCTTTTCAGCTCTTTAGTATCTTGAATTCTTCTTTGTGCTTGGGCTTCTCTGCGCTCCATTGCAATCTTAAGTGTTTCTTCTGACATCCATTTTGGTCTTTTTTTTCCTCTTCTGTCTTTGTAATGACTGTTTGCACTCTTCCTGTATGATACATTTGACATCTTCCCACAACTCATTGTGTCTTTGCTCATTGGTGTTCAAGGCCTCAAACCTGTTTCTGAGATGGTTCTGAAATTCAGGTGGGGTGAACTCAAAATCATATATTGGTTCCCATGGATTCGGTTTAATTTTCCTCAGCTTCAGCTTGAACTTCCATATGAGTAGTTGGTGGTCTGTTCCACAATCAGCTCCTGGCCTAGTTTTCACAGCTGATATTGAGCTTCTCCAATAGTTTTGTCCACAGATATAATTGATCTGATTACTATGCATACCATCAGGTGAAATCCATGTGTATAACCTGTGTTTATGTTTCTTATAAAATGTATTTGCAATGAAAAAGTCATTGATTTTACAAAATTCAGTAGCACTTAATTTTTTATACATAGATCAAGAAGCAATTGTCTGAGCAGGACAAGAGAACAATGCATACTTTAAAATCAGTAAAGTTGGATGTCAAAGTTGTATCCTTCGTGGTTACTAAGTCTGTATACTGAGTAAGTATTTCAAGAGGCTGAACTGTGTGAATAAGGATGCAATATCAGGATTGGCATAAGACTTATCAACAATCTACATTATGTAAATAACACAGCCTTGCTTGCAGAAAGTGAAGAAAACTTGAAGAATTTACTGCAGAAGATCAAATATTATATATATATATATATCTCCTTATATATGGATTATATCAACATCAAGAAAACAGAAATGCTTACCACTGGACCAGTAGGCAACCTCATGATAGGTGGATAAAAGATTGAAGTTGTCAAAGATTTCTTTTTACTTGGATCACCAATTAACACCTATGGTAGCAGCAGTAAAGAAGTGAAAGATGTATTTCATTGGGCAAATCTGCTACCAAGAACCTCTGTGAAGTGCTCAAGAGCAGGGATATCAATTTAAAGACTATTGTGCACCTCATCTGAACCATTAATATTTTTAGTCCTTTCTTATGCATCTTTGCATAATGAATAAGGAAGAACAAAGAAGATTCTGTGTTTTTGAAGTATGGTTTTGGAGAAGAGTATTGGATCCCATGTGCTATCTATCAGAAGAACAAATCTGTCTTAGAAGAATTGCAACCAATACCCTGCTTAGAAGCCAGGATGATGAAACTTTGTTTCATGCATCATGCTGGGAAAGGTAGAACATCAGTGAAGGAGGAAGCCCCCAAGGAGGTGGATTGACACAGATGGGATAAATTCCAATCTGTTGTTTTTAAAACTGCTATAAGTTATATATTGGTCAGTAGCATGAGGCAGGAATCCATTTTGAAAGCTATCTGCAGGAGCTGGGTTCTGCAGGAGCTTGGTGGCCAAGATTGGTGAGCATTAGGGTGGAAAGTTGATTTGTTAAGGGGAGTGAGGAGAGAGGATAAAGCCTCCTAGTTAAAAAGCCCTTTGGTCAGCAACATGAGGCTGGAATTAATTTTGGAAGTCATCTACAGGAGCTTGGTGGCCAAGATTAGTGAGCATTGGGATGGAAAGTTGATTCGTTAAGGGGATAAAGGCTCCTAGTTAAAAAATCCATTTAATCCCGATTAAAACAATCTTGGAAGCAGGAATGGCATTCACTTCCAAAATGGCTTGCCTCCAGAAACTCTATGAACAGTGCTCAGGTCTTTTGTTCATAGGGTCTCTATGAGTTGTCTACGACTCGACTCTATGGCACCTAACAACAACAACAATAACATAAGTTATAGTTTCCATGACAACAGTTAACAACAAATTATCACTGACCTCACTACCACCTAAGATTGTTATAAATTCACTTCATCGAAGAAGACATTCAGAGGCTAACAAGCATATGAAGAAATGTTCAAAATCCCTAGCTCTAAGAGAGATGCAAATCAAAACAACTATGAGGTATCATCTCACCCCAGTCAGAACTGCAAAATTTAAAAGAATACCTAGCAAATGCTGGTGAGGTTGTGGAGAAACTGGAACCCTTATTCATTGTTGGTGGGAGTGTAAAATACTGCAACCACTGTGGAAGGTGGTATGGTGCTTTCTCAAAAAGTTGTAAATAGAGATATTTGACCCAATAATTCCACTACTGGGAATATAGCCCAAAGAGATCATAACTGATATCCAAGTAGATAAATGCACACCCATGTTTATCATGGCTTTGTTCACAATAGCAAGGACTTGGAAACAACCTAAGTGTCCATCAACAAACAAATGGATAGAGAAGCTGTGGTATATTCACACAATGGAATACTATGCTGCATTGAAAAACCAGGAACTCATGCAATATTATTCAAAATGGGTGACTCTGGAGGACATTATGCTGAGTGAAGTATCTCCATCACAAAAGGACAAATACTGCATGGTGTTACTGTTGTAAAGCAGGACTGACCTCAGGGTTGGGAGGAGACTGAGAAAGATGGGTTCAATAATGTATACTGCATTGAAACCGATGAGAGAGAAAACTGTTTAAGAGGGAAAATTAATAGTGATTTTTGTCATGACAGGAATCCAGAGCGAAGGCTGTATGGTGGAGTGGACCTGGGGGGAGGGCTTGTAAATCAATGAAAGAATTTTTCTTTTACTTTTCCAAAAGGATAATGTACTAGGGGAGAGGGTTGGGAGGGGAGAAAAGTGCAACAATGAAAAAATGGAAATCCAAAATCTCTACAAATTTTCATTGAAATTAATAATAAAAAAAACTGTCTTGCAAATCAAACAAAAGAAATTGTTCTAAAATTTTTTATATGGATCTAAAGTTTACAATGCAGTTGGCGCCATGCTCTTTAACACAAGTTAAAAAACACATTGAAATAAATTCACTAAAAAATAATCCATTGAATAATAAAAAAAGATTGTTATAAGTTAAGAATTACTTCAGATTGACTCAACAGATTTCATCTTTTTCATTATTACAAAATTAGCACATCATACCCTTAAATTCTGTTGTAGTTGGCAGTTACTAACTATAATACAGTAACATGTGTTTTTATAATTAAACTTTAATATTATTTAGTAATTTGTCTCTTGATGTGATAAATAACATTTTGAGATGTAGCCCTGGTGGCTTAGTCTTGGCTTTGGTGGCCAAGAAGCTGTGCTGCAATCCCAAAGACACATGGTTCAAGGCCACCAGCTTCACTACAGGTGAAGGATGGGCAGTCTCCTCCTGTGGGATTAATTGTTTTTGAAAACTTACTTGAGGGTCAGCTCTGAGTCAGCTCCAACTCTTCAGCACACCACAACATCTGTACACATATATTTGCTGATAATGGTAGGACTGCGCTATGTTAATTGACATTCGAGTGATGCAGGTTATTTTTCTATCCTGCCAAAAATTATGTATTTTTAACATGTTCCTTTAAATAGTGTGAAATACTTTTTAATTGATTTCTTTCGAGCATAATCATATAATGTGTAAAGTTTTGTTTTTCAGAACAAGGAAAAACTGGAGAAGTTGAAAAGTCAAGCAGATCAATTTTGTCAAAGACTTGGAAAATACCGCATGCCTTTTGCTTGGACTGCAATTCATTTAATGAATATTGTTAGCAGTGCTGGAAGTTTGGAAAGAGATTCTACAGAAGTTGAAATTAGCACTGGAGGTAGGGGTGCTTTATATAATAAAATAATTAAAAATGTGTGTTTCTCACTTTGTTTCATGGACGTATTTTGCGGTGAGATGCAGTGACAGCCTAGTTCTGTAGATTTTGGAGTGAGATGAGGCATAAAATTGTTTTCTTTTATGCTTTCATTTTTGTGATTAATAAATTTCTCTTCTTAAGTTTTTAAAAATTGTGATTTGAATGAGTGTTTACAAGGCTAATGGGATTTTGTCCGATTAGTAATTCATGCGTATTAAGAATCACAGTATACACAATTGATTACCCATCCATTCCCTACTGTCGTTCCCTTCACCCATTCCAGTTGGTGCTGTTGTCTATAATTTTCTACTTTCCCCTTCCTCTCCCTAGTAACTATATTAGATTGATTTTCTATGTATGTAAACCTTTCTCATGCCTTGGTCATATTTGTTCTCTTGTGCTTGACTTACTCAGAATAATGTCCTCTCTACTTACCTATGTTATATAGTTTTTTAGGACTCCATCGTTTTATCAAGGCTGCATAAGACTTCATTTGAATGTAGCATTGATTCTCTCTTAATTTATTTGTTGATGGATAAGTTTGTTGTTCCTATTTCTTTGCTGTTAATAGTGGTGCAGTAAACATGGATGTGTTCTTCTTTGTTCTTGTTGCAGCTGTGACCAGCTGGAGTAAATAGTACTTCTGTTTTCAACTTTTTAAGGAAACATCAAACTTATTCCCCCTTAAAGTGTTAGAGAAGTCTAATCTTACTGCATCTTCGTCAGTATTTGTTGTTTCTTTCCTTGTTGAACTTTGCTATTATTGCTAGAGCAAGATGCTATCTCATTGTTGTTCTGGTTTGCAGCTCTCTAATGGCTAGTGAACTTACCCATAGCCAAACCTCCAGTGGGTTTTCAGAGGCAGTGAATCACAGAAGAAGAGATTGCCCAAACTTTGCCTGTGGAGCAGCTAGTGGATTTGAAACATGTGTCTTTGAGATTGCAGTACAGCTTCTTATGACTAAGCTTAAAGATGTCTAGAACAGCATATCAACACTGAAATACAGGGTGGGTGTAGAAGAGGCTGTAAAACTAGGGATATCATTGCCAGTGTCAGGGATCTCAGCTGAAAACAGTACCAGAAGAACGTCTGTTTGTGTTTTATTGACTGTGTAGATCACAGCAGATTGTGACTAACATAGAGAAGACTAGGAATTGCAGAACACATGATTGTATTGTGCTGATGTGAAACCTAGACCAGGAAGCTGTTGTACAAACAGAGCAAGGAAACACTGCATGGTTCAAAAACAGGAAAGGAGTGTGTCAGAGATGTATACTTTTCCCATACCTTTTCAATCAATATGTGGAACAGATAATTTGAGAGGCAGGACTTTATGAAGAATAATGTGGCATCAGAGTTGGAGGAAGATTCATCAACAACCTATGTTATGCAGACGCCACAACCTTGCTCGCTGAAACTGAAAAGGACTTGAATATAAAAGGTCCAGGACTGAAGTTTTCAATATAGATTACATCTTAACATCAAGAAAACAAAGATCCTTACCACTGGACCAGTTGGCTGCATGATGAATGTAAAAGGAGCATTGGAAACATGTGGATGCCTGAACCTGACTTCTACCCACTTTATAAAGGGGAACTGTTCCCATCAATAATATCCATAGCACCATACAAATAGCTACATGGTCAGACATGCCACCCCGCATACTCCTGTATTTATTTCTGTGAATCATTAGGCCCAATGTTGGTTGCAGCTCAACTCATTGATTTTACTTACAGTTGTGAGGTTTATCAGGGCAATAGATTGAAGAGTAGGGGAGGCAAAGAATATCACATAATGCAAATTCAGATTTAGTCCAGCAGTTCCAAGCTAGTTTGTTGTTGTTATGTACCATAAAGTCGCCAGTGACCCATAGCGACTCTTATGCACAGCACTTCTGAACACTGTCCTGTTCTGAGCCAATCCCATTAATTCTGACACACCATCCTCTGTTGCCTCAGTTACTGTATCAGTCCATGTCATCTGGGGTCTTCTTCTCCTGTACTGTTGCCCATGATGTCCTTCTCCAAGGACCCGTCTCTCCTGGTCATGTGCCCAAAGTATGTGAGACAGAACTTCAAAATCCTAGCCTCCAGGAAAAACTTGGTTTTATTCTATCCAAGACAGACCCATTTTTTTTCTTGCTGGTTCCTGGTATGTTCAAGACTCTTCTTCAGCACCACAATTTGAAGACATCGATTCTTCTGTCATTCTTTGTTATTGTCCAGCTCTCTGATGCATAGTAAGTACTTGCAAAGATGATGGTCTGGATTAGTTGTACCTTAGTCTCTAGACTAACATCATTGCTTTTCAGCAGTCTGGAGAGGTCCTTGACAGCAGATTTTCTCAGTGCAATTCTTCTTTTGATTTCCTGACTGCTGGTGTTAGTAATTGTGGAGCCGAGCAAGCTATAATTGTTAATAACCTCAGCCTATTTTCCATCTATCGTGGTGCTGCCAATTGGCCCAGTGGTGAGAATCTTTGTTTTCTTGATGTTGTGCTTCAGTCCATATTGTGGAGTATAGTCCTTGACCTTCTATGGCAAGCACTTGCAATCATCTTCAGTTTCAGCAAGCAAGGTTGTATCATCTGCATTACGTAGGTTGTTGATGAGTCTTCCTCCAGTGCTGATGCCACATTCCTCCTCATCAATCAACAAGGCAAATTCCTCAACCAGTGAAAGTCCAGGTTCCATTCAGCAGCCCAAATATAAGAAGTCTGTAGTTTACTAAGTCATCCAGCAAACTTTATCTCAGAGCAATTTCAAGTCAGCTTTTCCTTCAGTCATGCAGGAAGCAGAACCTTTAACTGTGGTTCCATCTCCAGGGTTCCTCTAGCTACGCCTTGCCATGGTCTCTTCATAGCAGTGCCAATCTCTGCACCCTTTCTCCACCCCTGTTTTTAATAGTGTGGAAAATATTCTCTTATATTGGTCCACAGCTGTTGATGATTTGAAAGACTGTGTCTGCAGTTAAGGTAGCTGGAGACCTTACTCCCAACAGTGTCTAACAGCATGGATAGAAAAGCTTATTTTCAAGATTTCTGATACCACAATGACAAATGGAGAAAAGATTGAGGTTATTAACAATTTCATCTTTATTGGATAGACAATCAACAGTGTTGGCACCAACAGCCAGGAAATAAAAATATGAGTTATTTTAGGGAAGTCTGTTGTCAGGGACCTCTTCAGAGAATAAGGCCACGTCTTTTCAATTACTTGCTGTGCTTCTGAGAGCTGGACAGTAAGGATGACATAAGAATAGATGCATTTGAGTTATAGCGCTCAAGAAGAATACGGAATATCTCTTGGACAGCCAGGAGAACAAACAGACTGGTCTTGTTTAGGGTGAAACCAGGCTTCTCCTTGGAGGCAAGGATTTTGAAACTGCACCTCACATAGTTTAGGCATCTTTCCAGGAGAGATCAGTTCTTGGAGAAGGACATGAAGCTTTGAAGGATGTAGGGTCAACACAAGAGGAAAATGAGATAGATTGACACAGTGACTATAGCAATGGAGATAGGTGTCTCGGATACATTGAGATTGGCTTAAGATAGGGCAGAATTAAGAACTGTTGTTTATAAGGTTGCTATGAATCCTCGTTGACTCAAAACATACAAGAGCAGTAGCTAATGAGCTTGAGCATTTCTTTGAGTGGGGTTTGTTTGGTTTTTTTCTTTTTTAAAGTTTGCTTTTCGTATCTTCTGCTCATTTTGTAATTGGATTTTTCTTTTTCTATACTACAATTTTCTGTAAACTTTAGGTATGACCTTATCAGATATATCTTTACCAAATATTTTTCCCCACTCTGTAGACTCTCTTTTTACTCATTTGGAGAATTTATTTACTTTTAATGTAAATAGGGATTTAAATTTTAGGTCTCACTCATCCATTTTGTCTTCTCTTAGTTGTATGTTTTTGGCTATGATTGAAAACCTCTGTGCTGTAAATCAAGACTTCTAATTTTTTTCCTTATTTTTCTCTGATGATCTTTATATTTTTCAACTTTTGACCCTAGACTTTTAGTTCACCTTCAGTTAGGTTTTGAATATGGTGTGAGATATGGTAATCTTGTTTCAGTTTTCTTCAGGTAAATATTCAATTTTGTCACCAACATTTGTTAAAGAGGATTTTACCCTGTAGCCGTCATTTACTCATCAGATATCAGTTGACCATAGGTGTATGAATTGATGTCTGGATTCTTGGTTCTATTCCATTGATCTCTGTGTGCTCTTTTGAGTACTGTGGCTGTGTAGTAATTAGAAAGTAGAAGGCCTTCTCTTACATTTTTCTTTAGTATGTTGTTGTTGTTGATTGCCTTTGAGTTGAGCACAACTCATGGCAGCCCTGTGAACAAAAAGCCTGAAGACCCTCTACAACTATCGACATTTATCAAAATTCATAGAGTTTCCAGAGGCATTTTATTTAGGAAGTGGATACCACTCCTGCTTCCAAACCTGTCATAGTATGTTAATTGTTGTTATGTACCATTGAGCTGCCGGCAATGTGTAGTGACCCAATGTGCAGCAGCTCTGAACCCTTCCCTGTCCTGAAACCAGTCTGACTAATTCTGACACACCAACCCCCATTGCCCCAGTGACTGTATCAAACCATTTCATCCGAGGTCACCCTCTTCTTCGCTGTCAGTCCACCCTTCCAAGCATGATGTCCTCTAAGGACCAATATTTCCTGGCCATGTGCCCAAAGTAAGTGAGATGGAGCTTCAAAATCTTAGCCTCCAAAGAGAGTCTTGGTTTCACCCTCTCTAAGACAGACCTATTTGTTTTCCTGGTGGTCCATGGTATGCTAAAGACTCTTCCCCAGAACCACAACTGAAGGCTTCTTCTTCTGTCATTCTTAGTCATTGACCAACTCTCTGAAGAATAACAAATAATTGAGAAGACCATGGCCTAGATTAGGTGCATCTTTGTATCTAGACTGATGTCATTGTTCTTCAGCATTCTG